TCTCAATGGAGAAAGAAGTGGTAAAAATCTAGAAGAGCTGACTCTGTACTAGAGAATCAAGGCTTAAGAAAGAGGTGATGGTGGCACCTAAGGCACGACGCCCCATGTCACCAAGTAAGAGGAAAAAAACCAAAGCAGAGAGAGAGAACTCCTGCTACTCAGGGCAACAACTCTGAGTAGGAGAAATCTCACAGTGGTAACACCCACACAAACTAGTGAGACCTTGTGGGAAGTGAAAGTGACCTTAACACATTCGTAGGACTAATTTGTCAACTAAGCCTAGTATATGAATGGTAAGATAGGTCACAAAAAGTAGTAGAAGAACTGATCTTCTGCGAGAAGATCGAAGTTCTCAAAGTAGTGATGTTAATATCCGAGGCAAGGTATACTACATCACTACAAGTAAAGCAGTTCTAGGTAGTAAAGGGGACCCCCTCACTACCTGAGGACAGTAATCATGTATAATAGTGAAAAATCATCAAAAGAGTCATAGTGGTAACACATATCCTGATCAGGTAGGACCCTGTGGGGAGTAGGAGCAATCAACACAACATTCATAGGGCTACTCTAGCAGCTAAGAGTAGGGTACGAATGTAGAAAGTAAGTGAGTAAAGAAACTAAGTAGCTGATCTTCTACTGGAAAAAGTCGCGGTGCTAACACTTGAGAATAGATGTACTACACCACAACTAAGAAAACAACTCTGAGGTGATAAGGGAGCACACCTGACATCTAGTATGATAATCATGAGTGAGATCTATGATTATCAAAAGGCCACAGTGGTAACACCTACCCTAATCAGGTAGGACCCTGTGCAAAGTGAAAGTAACACTATCACATTCATGGGACCACTCTGATAGATCAGAGTGGTGAATGAATGGGAGAGTGGGCTGCCAAAAGAGGGCAGAAAGGGGCTGATCTTTCATCAGAAAGATCTAAGCCCGAAAGGTAGTGATGTTGACATCTAAACTTAATGTAAAATATCACTAGCAAAGAAAAGCAATTCGGAATCATATGGATTAATCAACCAACTAAGTGGAAACTCAACCTTGAAGAGACCACCAAAGTACTCTCAAGGGAAATGAAAGAGAAATTTTTGGGAATTTGGGCTCTTAGAGATTTTTTGCCGGGTTCCTCCTGTGACAAAGACAATCGATTTCGCTTTCATAAGAGCTTCCCTCTTTTTAGCACATGTATATATATATATATATATATATTAAATGGGGATCATGGATGGTTTTGATAATCCAGACCATATTCGCCACATGAACAAAACTGAGAAATTTGTGCTCTTAGAGAGTTTTACCGAGTTCCTCTTATGACAAGGGCAACCGGTTTTTCTCTACTAAGAGCTTCCCTCTTTTATCACATTTATATTTTGAATAGAGACAGTGAATGGTTTTGATAATCCAGATCATGTTCGCCACATGAACTGAACTGTGAAAGAGATCTAACAGGATCTTATAAAGAATCTACTCATTAGTTTTGATAACCCAGACTACATTCAACTCATGTGAATGAACTGGGGAGCACAATCATATTGAAATCAATATATCATCAAAATTAACATCATGACAGAGGATCAACACTATCACACCTGACTAGCATAGGATGGTGTGGACCCAGTATCTTACCTCCAAAAGAGTCTACCCTAAAGACTCTGACATCCCTGCTCATATTCAACTCGTATGAATGGGCTAGGGGCAACATCTATCAGATTAGGACTGATAGAAAGAAGAAACTCAAATAGGGGTAGTGTATCTCTTTCACCCCACATAACTATCATAGGAGGGTATGGACCCAGTATCACATCTCAAAAAGGTCTAAACTAAAGACTATAACCTCCCCGATCACATTCAACCCACATGAATGAACTGGAGGCTACATCTATCAGATCAAGACTGATAGGAAGAAAAAATTAAAGTAGGGATAGTGGATCTCTATCACCACACCTGACTATCATAAGAGGGTGTGGACCCAGTATCACATCTCAAAAATGTCTAAATAAAAGACTACAACCTCCCTTATCATATTCAACTCACATGAACGGACTGGGGGCTACATCTATCAGATCATGACTGATAGGAAGAAGGAACTCAAATAGAGATGGTGGATCCTTATCACCACACCTAACCAACATAGGTGGGTTTAGACCCAGTATCACATCTCAAAAGTAGACTCGAGTCGTTGGATTTGATATCCCAGACCACACTTGGGGTGGCAAGTGAAACTGGGGGCACTAAAACTCACAATGTATATTTTGATTATATGGACCCAGTCAAAAGTGACAAATGGGCACATATCCCAGAGGAGTTTAGTACCTGAATCCATCTAATATTTAAAAAAGAAAACCTCAATATAAATTTACTATCTCAGATCAAGCTCCATACTAGCTGAGTCGTGTTATCTCTTTTATATGAGTATTTTCTTTTCTTGAATTGAAATCTAATCTAAAAAGGGATTTAAATTAGAAGAAGAAATTAAATTTTCCCAAACTTCTTGTATGAAAGTATATTTCCATATCTTATAGGATATCAATGCATAATGATGATTCTAAAATTATAATTTTTAGACTCAAGTATCAAAAATATCAAAAGGATATAGATTTTCCGAGATTTAGAAATTTGCTAGAAAGGGAAGCTATTTACTTAACACTTTTGGGCTCTTTGAGCCACTTTCTCAACTTTCGTGTGGTTTACACAATTTTTTTTTATTTGATACACTTTGTGCATCTTTCACTTTTGGCGCACTTTGCGCATCTTTTCACTTTTTGTAACTTGCTTTCTTTTTCAAATCTCTAAAAGTAAACTTTTTCTCAGTTCTAAGATCATCTTCCAAATACAAGAGAAGAAGACTCACTTCTCTTATGCTAGGAAGAAGGATCTACAAAACAAATCATATCCTCTGATAAGAATAGCTTGATTAAGAAAATCATGAAATTTTATTCATCAACATGCTAAAGTTATCTATGAGATAAAGAATTACAAGATGATAGAGAAAATTTTCACTTCTAAATCCAATTTCAATTTGAAATAGATTTTAGTTCAAAAGAAGAAATCTCTCTGCCCATGGATGAGATAGAGAGATCATACCCTTTTATGTGTCATCACTACAAAGCTAGTATAACTAAAAGAAGTGAGAGAGTCATCATAATAAAAAATCATCTTATTTTCTTTTATTGATTAATCATCAATAGAAGAGAGAACGGGGTCCTTCAGCCTAAGTGCTGGAAGGGGGCCTATCTTCCCCTCTGAGGTTACAACCATTTTTTTTCTCTTTTACATATCTCTCAAGTACAAATAGAAGTCAAAGGAAAATGTGCTCATCTGGCACTACAAAAGAAGAAAGAAAAGAAAGTCAAGTGCTAACAAAGAAGCTGGAGTGGCAACTGTCGACTCAGCCTTGGGAGGCCTCCTCTCAACTACCTTTGAACTCTGTAGAGTCTACTTAATCATCTGTTATGTCTTCTTGGGGAGTGCTAGCTGTCACTCTCCCTCAGAACTGTGGAGTGATCTTCCACTACTGCCCTGACTGTAAGTCTGACTATTACTGTGGCTGGAGTTTGAATCCTTTACACTATGTGCGTAGCCTTGCCCTAGGGCTGCACTAAGTCACTATCCTACACATGGATCTTCCCACTAGACATAAGGCTCTCCACCCTATCCTTGAACACAAAATAATATTCAAGTGTATGGCCAGTATGTCGGTGAAAGGGGCAATATAGTGGGTGTTCCGTTTGCCCTTCTTCATCTGCTTTCTTATTGAATGGGAATGTCAAAACATCTTTCTTAACAAGGAATGTAAATATCTTTCTTAATCTTTCTCTTTTAAATGGATATTCCTTGTTAAGTCTCTGATGTAAAGACGACTGACTCTCTGAAGCCCTATAAGGAGGTCGAGACTGTTGATTCTGTGGTCGTGGTGGAGGTGCACTGCTCACGAGCTTCTTGCCCTTATTTGGTGGACCACAAGTACTATGTACCTCCCCCTCCCTAGGAGGAGGTGCCCTTGAAGACTCCTGATGCTGAGGTCTACACTGAGGTTGACTCTCAACCTTAGGAGGGACTGCATCAGGTATGCTGTCCTGTAGACTGATCACCTTAGTTAATAATTTTTAGAAGGTTCTTATAGTGAAACCTTTCAAGTAAGGTTCTATAGCGTCATCTATATTCTTTAATAAAATCTCTACTGCATGCTGCTCCTGTAACTGGGGCTCACACTGTAGGCTAAGGTTCTTCCATCTAACTATATAATCTGGAAGACTCTCTCTAGGGTGCTGTATAGTCACAACCAACTCTCCAATAGTGACCCGGTGCTCTGCACTGGCAAACCTCTGTATAAATAGCTGCTCTAACTCTGCAAAGGTCTGGATTGAGTCGTTGGGGAGGTCGACGTACCAAGCAAATGCCACCCTAAAAATTCTTAACATCAATGCATCGTTCCCCCCTATGTTGCAACATATGGCCCGATACTGAACCACATGCTTCCTTGGGTTCCCAAACCCATCAAAGACTCTAAATCATGGGGGAACAAAACCAGGAGGGTAAGGCTCACTCTCATACTCCACTAGGTAAGGCCTACCTTTACTGACCACCTCTTTAGTCTTTCTGGAGGAAATTGCCTGCTCCGCCTTCTGAGCTATCAAATCCTGAATCTTACTGGCTGACAACTGTGCTGTCTGACTCTGGTTAACTGTAGGTGCTGCAGGAACTGTAGGAACTGCCGTCGGGACCCTATCCGCTCTTACAGGATCTAGTGCCACTGGCGGCACTACTAGCTCATCTCTGAACGTGGTAGGAGTACCCACGCTCATCACTTGGGGTATAGCCCCCAAAGAAGTCAGCTGGGCAGTCATCGCTGTCATGGCCTTAGCCATCTCGGCCATCTGAGCCTATAAGTATAATACTGTGGTATCTGTAGGAACTGCTCTGGGAGATCCCCCTGCCTCTAGGCCTCCCTGCTCATCATCATCCTCATAGTCTCTATACTCATCTGAGTGACCTCACCGGGTAATCACACAGGTCCAGTATACTGGTATATTGTCATCTAACTCACTTTCCAGTATATCATCATCCTCTAAAAAAGATCGTCGAAGTGCCTCTATATAGGGACTCATAGGAGAGGTGATCCTATGAGGGCTGGGAGCAGGCTCTATCTCTACTCGGTCTGGTGATCCATCAGGGCTAGGCCCTGTATCTATATCATAAGTCTTTAGGACCACCTCGGACCCAGAAGGAACAACTACATCAAGTGGGTCTACTATACCTACTGGCTGAATTGCCTCAATTAAATGTATTATCTCAACTAACTGTGTGGCCTCAACTAACTGTACTACCTCTGCTAACTGTATTGTCTCATCTGGTTGCACTGTCTCTACTGACTGTACTGGCTCGACAGGGGTGCCTGCCTGCCGACGTCTCCAAACCCATCTACTACGACGGGGCTTTATACTGGTAGCTGGTTGCTCTGGGGCTACCTCCACTGAACTGATTTGAGGCCGAGCAGGCTCCCGCTGCTGTCTCTGTTCTCGGCAATGTGAGCGTCGTTCTATAGTAGGAGTAACTTCTGGCAGTCTAAAAATTGGAGCTGCACTAACTAACTACTGAGGTGGCTGTCCTCTCTGCCACCTATACCTCGATCTCGTGGTCTGTCTCTGCAACTGAAGAGTAGCCTAAGAGATTTGTCAAAGTAACCTCTCCCGATTGACAGGCCCTCTACCACTAGCTAGGCGGTCGATGTTTTGAATCCTCTAAGAGAGGGCTCGAACACCAGCATCCCTAGGGAACCTAGCCCGGGGTAAGGTAGTGGTAGCTGGAGGAGCCGCCGTAATGCGGGCAATGTCCTCCTCATCCCCACTATGTTTCAGTGGAGAGAAGCATCCTCCCTGGATCGCCTCTATCTCAGGAGCTACTATCACCTCTGGGGTGAGTACTGCTGACACTGGTCGTGGTCTCCGCTGCCTGGGAGCCACTATCCTCTAAATTAGCTCCTGGTCAGCTATCGTATCTGCCATCTGCTGCCTCTCTACCCCAGACACAACTAAATGCAACCTCTTATTCCTATTCCTCCGGGCCCTTCTCCCAAGGCCGGAGGTGGACGTGGAAGGGACATCTGAATCTACTGCCTGTGTGGCAGGGGGAACAGGGACGACTGAAAGTGCCGGGGTCTGCCCGGCGGCCTCATAGTGAGAAAGTCGAGCAAAATAGAAACCCGGCCAGAAGAGGGCGAAGGCACCTCGGTCTGGGCACCCCTCTTCCTAGTGGAAGCTGGAGGAGAAATCCGAACTCGAGGTACTTTTACCGGAACAAAGGGGGTAACAACAGCAACAGGCTGCCGGCGCTGAGGGGCCAGAGCAACCTGTGTAACAGGAGCGACAGGTACAGGTCGCTGTTGACCTCATTTTTGGTATGAGGTTACTAAGACTCTTCCAAACTCCAGATTAATTCTAGATCCTAGGATCCACTCTAGACCTTAGGATCCCTTCTTAGAGCCAAACCTTAGGGCCTACTCTAGAGCCTAGGATTCCCTTAGATCCTAGGATCCACTCTAGACCTTAGGATCCTTTCCTAGAGCCAGACCTTATGGCCTACTCTAGAGCCTAGGATTCCCTTAGATCCTAGATCTTAGAACTCCTCTAGATCTTAGGACCACTCCAACCTCAAATCAATTCCTACCTTTAATCAACTCCAACTTCAAGTTAATCCCTACCCTTGATCAATTCAAACCTCAAATCAATCTGAACTTCATTCAATTCAAATCCAAATTAATTCAAATTTCAAACATACCCAAACTTTGATCCAGTCAATTTGACAATCCAAACTTCAACTTAGACTTTGGATCCCCCTCCAAATCTTTTGATCCCTCTTAATACCTTGATATTAACTTGTTAAGCAATGATCTACATCTTTTTAGATTCAATTTGACCCAGAATTGACTTGAGTCCAAAATGACCAAAATGCCCTTAAATGGGGATTTTTGGACTTTTGGCCTAAACTCAACTTGATTTGACTTATCAACCTTTGAAATCTTCTTCAAATATCATTCCAATGGATCCTAAATGACTTTAAGAACACATTGAACCCAAACTTACTCTTTGGTTTGACCTGGTTGACTAAGTCAACCATGGTTGACCAAATCAACCCTTTAACCCAACACTTACCAATTTTAACAATTCAAGTGATTTTGAATCAATCCAACCCATCAAGATTGGTCAATTATACACCCTTGACTTTAAATTTATTGGCATGATGTCTTGTAGCACTCTTGACCTCCCTCATGCACATTCTAGTCACCATTGACTAGTCAACAAGTCAATGGGTCAAAAACAACCCTTGAAATGAGACCATAGCTTGGCCACCTCATCATCCCATAAAGCAAACCCTTTCTCCAAGCCAAAATCTCCTTTTGGATGATGGGAATATGCTTTTTCCCTCCCTAATTGATCATTAAACAAGCTCTATTAACCAAGCCAAGCATTGATTCATCCAAATGGGGCAAAAGGTGTGGTCCCTCTTCACATGGACCAAGAGATGTCACTCTCAACCACCAACCCTATTCCATAGCTTTGGGCAGCATAGGGGACACTTGGCACTCATCCAAAACCTCCTCAAATCAAATCTCAACCATCCAATCCAAAAGCCAAAGGTAAAGTGGGGGAAAACTTGACCTAAAGGGGGCTTCTTCATCATTCCCTTTGATATGATCAAAA